TGGGATTCTTCCCTGGCTATCTGTGTGGTGTCTTTCATGCAATTCTAAGCTTTCAGGTGGTGATGGCAGGGGCTTTATTTATTTGACAAGCCATGTGTAAGGATATTTTCTGGATCCTCCTCACTGGCGAGCAGGGGAGTGCTCCATAAAATCTTACCCTTAGTGCCATGTTGAGAGCCACAGCCAAAGGGGCCCCAGCAAACTTCCAGCTGCCGGCTGATGATCCAGCTGCCAGCAAACTTCCAGTTGCCGGCTGATGATTGGCTCACAGTGGCCCCAGCAACATCTAGCTGATTGGCTCCTCTGTGGTGATGTTCATTGGGCTGTTTCCCTGCCCTTCAGACTGCCAGCTGATGATTGGCTCACAGCGGCCCCAGCAACATCTAGCTGATTGGCTCCTCCACGGAGCTGCTCATTGGGGGACTTCTTTGGCTCCGCCCACGCAACCCAGCCAATCGGCCTCAAGAGCAGGAGGATTGTGGGAGGTGGTGAGGTTGGTGTGAGGAGAGGCTTGTGGAAGCCGGTGGTGGCAGTTGGGCTCTGAGGGTTTTTTCCTGAGGAGCTGTTTTGTTTGGCGTTTGTAGTTCTAAAAATAAAGTTAGTTTCTTTTGACAAGTGGCTCCTGATTTGTGCCAAGCCAGACTTCGGCAGTGCCACACTTTCAATCCAACTGGAAAGGAAGGCTTAACAGGTTGGTTTCCAGAAAAGCAGCTAAAGGGTTTCTTGGTCTCCCCCTCAGTTCTGTGGAGCGACTCGCTCCTGGGGCCAGAACTGCTGTCCTCACTCACTCTTGCAGGTAGGAGAGGGCCTCTGAGGACAGTGGACTCCAGGGTCACAGTCTTACTGGAACCCCTAGGAAATTTCCCTGGGCCCAAGACACTGGTGGGAGCTCAGAGCAGCGTTCTCGGCCTTGTCGGTATTGCACTTGGGCTGGATAGTTCTTTGCTGTGGGGAGGGTGTTCTTTAGATTGCAGGGTGTTTAGCAGCATCCCTGGTCTGGACCTGAGGGATGACAAGAAACACTGCACCGTAGTTGTAATACCAACAATGTCTCCAGATGTTGACTGATGCCCCCAGGCTACAAAAGCATCTGAGAGCCCTGACTGTGGGCTTTGTTTTGTGCAAAGCAGTTTCCCCTGTGTTCTTACATCTAGATCTGTGAATCAGGTAGGTACCTGTTATCTTCTCTATGTATGCACACATAAATGTATGAATAGGACTCATACATTTATGTGTGCATACATATATACAAGTCTGTATATGCACATATATGTACACGTATGTGCATTTATGTACATATATACATGTAATACATGAATGTGTATGCATGTATACACATATATGCATAATATATGCATACATGTACATATATAAGTGTGTGTGTGTGTGTGTGTGTGTGTGTGTGTATTTTTTTTTTAACCTTTTCCAGTACTGGGATTGCAAACAGGGCCTTGCACATGCTAGGCAGGTGCTTTACCTGTGAGCTATACCCCAACCCCTTTAAAATTTCATTTTGAGACAGTGACTTATTAAGATGCCTCTGCTGACCTTGAACCTGTGACTTCCTGCCTTCTCCTCCTGAATAGCTGGGATTATAGGAGCAGGCCACTACACTCAACTAGAATTCACATCTGGTTGCAAATTTGTACTTTCTCTTACGACTCTTAGGGATAAGTAAACAGTAGAGATAGCAACCTGACCCTATGTTACAAGAGATAACAGTTTTGAGTTACAGAACAAAAATCTATTAACTGCTTTGCTCTTTCAGATTTCTCTTTATTTTAGTTTGCTGAACTTTCACGTAGCTTTTTTGTTTCCGTTCTGAAGTGCCCAGTTTCATTTTTAACAGTAAATGTTTCCAAACCTTCCAAACCTTTAAGATGGGGGAAGGTCCTAATGAAAGTTGTTCAGTTCCTCTTGAGGATGCGTCACGGTGATAACAGGGTGTATGCAATCTTCCCAGTGGTGTTTTCCAAGAAAACCAAAATACAATATTGCCTTTAAAAACAGAAGTTTGCAGTAATTGTTATTGAGGCTAGATCAGAAAACTGGAAGTACTGAAATGAGTTGGAAGGCAACTTTTTTGAGACTATAAATAATTGCTTTCTGTATTTTAAAAAGAAGAAAGGAAAAGAATTATTTTAAACTGGTACCTGAAAGTAAAGAACTCAAATTTTCAAAGTAGGACTAATAATATACTTAAACTTGAGATTTTAATTAAATGAAGACACATTTTTTCCTATTAACATATACTCCTGCTTTGAAATTCTATCTAACTAAGCACAGATGTCAGATTTTAAATTCATAATTTTGGAGCCACATTGTTGATTATAATGAATGATAGTTAATATTAAGTGAGCACCTACTGCTTGCTACCATGTTCCAGAAGCTCCCCTTCGCAGGGAGACACCAAGCTGAAGCAGGCAGGACTTGGAGAGTTGGCAAGAGCTGTCTCTTCCACATGTTTTTTTAAAGCTTTTTCCAGATGTTGGACTTTCTGCAAATTATGTAGCTTCTTCAATGCTCAGTGTTCTCATTTGTAAAATTCAGTAATGATACCAACCTTTTTTCACATAACTTATTTCATTTTATGCCTTTGTGAAGGCAAAATGAAATAAGTTATGTGAAACCATGTTAATGTTAAGTTAGTATTAGTGGTAATATTTGAATAATCAAATAATAAATTTCAAAACTTTAATAATTATTAACAGTGTTAATATTAGGCAATGTGAGAGCATTGTTAATAGTATCATTAATTAATATTACTAGAAGTTATTATTGTTTTAGTATGTTGAATTGTTTTTGAACTGTTATAGACACTCCTGATAAGGTGTGCTGGTCATTTGGGGATTTCTATATTATTATACAAATTGGGTTTACTTATTTTTAATTTTTAAATTAATTAATTAACTCATCATTTCTGTATTTTCAGTCTTTCTGGTTTTGCTTTTGAAAATTTCAATGTTCACTCTCTTGTGGACTTGACAAATCCCATGGATGGGAGCTGTCTGGGCTGTGAACGTGTCCCTGGGGCAGTGGTGAGCGGTCCGCACGTTACTGATTGTACTTACGTCAAGATGACCATGGGGCTGAGGTGATGCTTCTGATGTTTTTGAGGAAGTACAGAACTAAATTGTATGTTTGGGATATCTCAGAAAATGTTTCTGCTCTTCAAAAAAATATGTTTTTTTGTGGTCAAGACTCAAATACCTTGTGGTTATAACACGTTTCTTTTTAAGGTTTCTTCTTAATAACCGAGTATTTTGTAAATAATCAAACCTATGCCATGTATGGCCTCTATTAGGTCTTGATAATCACCTACTGAGTTGAGGAAGTTCCCAGATGGCATCACACGTGCCTATATTATGTTCTGTTTCACTCTGCTCTTGTACTTTAATATTACAACATAAGCACTTCGTTGTTCTTTCATGCATAATTTTAAGAAGATGTATCACAGTTCACTTAGTAGACAGCCTATAATTTCTACAACCATTTACCTGTTATTGGGGGCTCATGCTGATCTCCAATATTTTAATCCTATAAAAAATGCTACAGTGAACATTTTTATATGCAAAGCAATTTTCTTTGATATTTCATGGTCTTTCCTTAAAATGGCTTTCTGTGTGTGCGATTACTGTGTCAAAGGGCACACAACAGTTTTTAAGTCTTTTGATATGTATAGCCAAATTGCCTTCTAAAAGGTTCTAACAGCTATGTATAATCCTTGTTTCCTTGCCCTTGTCAAAGTCGGGTATTCTTATTAAAATTTTTTTCAGTATTTTAATATTCATAATCATTAGAGATTAATGAGGCTGAAATTTAATATATATATATATTTAGTTGTTTGAATTTCGATGTGAACTTTCCACTCTATCCCCGTCTCCTTGACCTGATGTATACCTACCTTGCTCCGCTCTATTGGTGACCTAAATGGCTTTAGGACTGATCCATTAAGGGAGAAGGAAAGTGAGGAGGAAGAGAATGAGCTTTTCATTTTGTAAAAAAATGACCAATCAATGCCACTTAGATATAAATTTGTCCTTATATCAAAAGTATTGATACTTTTTATCATGATTCTAGAAATAATAATTATTATTTTTTTTACCGGTCTGATACAAAGACTGGAAATTCATGCATAGTATTTATGAATATCCAACCAGTGAACATGTTTGGATAATCTGCTTCTTTTCCTGTGCTTTTTGACCTTTCCTTTATGAAGTTTGTGTGGGTGTGTACTTTCAAGTCATCTATTCTGTTTCAGTGATGCTTACCACTATTCTTAATGTTATAGTGTGTATAATTTGTACTGATGGTAAGTCAAGATTCCTTTTATACTTATTATTTTTCAATGAAAACTTTTCAAGATACTAAACTTGCCTCTTTATTCTTTTGATGGACATTAGAATAATCACTTTCAATTGCACTCTTTCCCCCAAATCCTGTTGGCACTTTGGGATTTTGTCAAAATCTATAATTACCATCAAAATTAAACTTTTTAATAGAATTTGGTCTTCTATTCAGGAATAGATGCCTCTTCCTAGTCTTTGCAATTACGGGGGTGGGGGTTATAGTTTTATAATTTCTTTACATCAGTTTTTCATTCAAGGTAATTCTTAGGTTCTTTGAATATTTTGTTGACTTTATGGACAGAACCCTTTATTCCAATCTGGTTTCTTTCTCTTAAATTGTGTATTTTAATTTCACATGTAATAATTAATGACACCTCTTGGGGGATGAAAAGCATTTTACACATAAGGTGTGTTATGGTTTAGATATGTGTCCCCCACAAGCTCCTGCATAAGATAATGCAAGAAGGTTTAGAGGTGAAATGATTGGGTTATGAGAGCCCTAACCCAGCCAGTGAATTAACCCTGTGATAGGGATGAACTGGTAACTATGGCAGGTGGGTGTGGCTGGAGGAGGTGGGCCTGGGGCATGCCTTGGGGGTATATATTTTGTCTTTGTTGAGCAGAACTCTCTCCCTGCTTTCTGATCACCAGGAGAGCTGCTTCCCTCGGTCACACTCTTCTGCCAGGATGTTGTGCCTCTCCTTGAGCCCCAAGGAATGGAACCGGCTCTCTAGGACTGAGCCCCCTGAAACCGTGAGCCCCAAATAAACTTTTCCTCCTCTAAAATTGTTCTTGTCCGATATTTAAGTTGCAGCAGGAAAACAGCTGACTAAGACAAGGTTATGCATCTCCACCATCCCTGGTCCCAGCATTGCCACCAGAGGGGTGCAGGGTAGTCAAGTGGCCATGGATCATCATACCATGGGGCCTTTCTGTGGGTTTACATCAGGGTATGGGTTTGTGGAACGTGTATAACATGACGTTGAGGCTGGCAGTATTCATCCGGTGGATGAGATGGGATGGAGGGCCATCTGGCTCCCAAGTGGGGATGACTGGAAACCTAGGTTTGACTGACTAATCAGAACATACACAGGGCTTCTTCAGCGTGGTGGCCTGAAGGAGCTGGACCTCCAACACCGTGGTGCAAAACTTTCAGAGAGTATTCTAAGAGACCCAAATAGAAGTTGCAACACTTTTTATGACTTGGCCTCAGAAGTCCTAAAGTGGCATTAATGCCACATTCTTATTGGTTATTCAATTGCTAAGGCTAGACCAGGTTCACAGGGTTGGGAATCTCAATGAGAGGTATACAGCAAAGAATTTGGGCCATCTTTATTATTCCAGTTAGATATTAATCCTAAATGGGAAAGGTAAGCAAAGATTTTGGAAGGATATATGGGAGAAAAATCTCTATGACCTTAGGAGTAGGTAGAATTCCCTAAATAGGTCACAGAAAACATTTGTCATAAAAGAAAAAAATTGGGTAAATTTGGCTTAATTAATAGAAAGACTATATATTTAAATGCCACCTTTTATAGAGTTAAAATACAAGCTGTGTATATCACAACATATCCAGAGCATGAAAGAACTGCCCAATCAATAGGTCAGATAATTCAACAACAAAAAAAATGTTTAAAAGTGACTTAAATGGCACTACACAGAAAAGGTTATAAATGGCCAATTAGCATATAAAAATACGCTCAATATTATTAGTTACCAGGTAGATGCAACCTCCAGAATGTCAAAGTTAAACGGAGAGACAATTCTAAGTGATGGTAAGGATGTGGAAAAATTAGAATTCTTACTTTGTTGATTAGCTTGTCAATTGGTACATCCACTTTAAAAAAAATGCATATCCACATAAACATATGCCCAAACCAGAAAACCCTCTCCTAGAATTGTCTTAGCAACAATGAACCCATATGCTGGCAAAAAGCATATAGAACAGTGTCAATACTAGCTTATATTTAAAATGGCCTCAAATTAGTAAACAACCCAAACACCCATCAACCGAATGGATAAAATAATTTTTTCATATTAGTACAACAATACTATTGTAAACTAACAGAAAAAGAACAAACTACAGCTACCACGCAAGATAAGATAGATGAGTACTATAATACTGAGTGAAAGAAGACAGGAACAACATAGTACATACTGTAAGCTTCCACTCCTGATAAGCTCAGTGAAGACAGAATCAATAAAATTGAATCAATCAAAGGGTGATAGGAATCGTTAGTGTTCACTGCTGGGGGCGTGTGGACTAGCAGGGGGCCATTGAGGGCAGTGTGCAGTTATTCTCCATTATTTTCTGTGTACCGATTTCTCATGTATTGAGCTATACAATTAAAATCTGTGAACTTTTCTGAACATACCTCAATAAAAAACAAAAAAGAAAATTTACGTTAAAGTCATTTAACTTTAAGAAAAAAGAGGAAGGAAACAAAGCTTTCTACAAATATTCTGAGACACAGGCTATTTCCAGTTGGTTTCTGTGGCTGTCTCCAGCACACTTGGAGAGGGCCATTAGCTTTGTATTTTATGAAAACAGAAAGGAATTTGTTTAAAAAAAAATTGGAAATGCACTATGAAGTAAAACCATTAATCAGACCTTAATCATAGATCAACATAACAACAATGTTTTTTCCCCATAAAGTTTGATGTGACCTGCCAATTCCCCCCTCTGACTGTCAGGAAGAGCTTCCCTGGGCACGGGGAGGGGAGTCAATGCCAGCCTGGTCTCACCTAACCGGCGATGCTTCTTTGCCTGGTTTGGATTCAGCCGACTCCTTTTCTGTCCCTGTAGGGACAGGGACTATTTTCTTAGGTTCTCCCTTTTTGGCTTATGAGTGTTGCTCCTTCCAACATGCTCCGCACGTGCAGCTATTCCAGGTCGACCTGGACAGAGCTGTGTTCTGCTGCGGCTCCGCAGGCCTCTGAATTCAGTCATTCACTTAACAAAGGTGAAGTGGTCACCCCTTGTGCACAGGGCTGTTTGAAGGCTCTGAAAGGCTATCAGACTTCATGAAATATTCTCACAACCCACGTAGCATTGTTTTGGCTGTAAACATATTTTTAACTTTGTAAAATAATTGACAAATAAAATTGTATGTATTTGTTGTATGCAACATAATGTTTTAAAATACATAGACTTTGTGGAATGGTTTAATTAAGCTAATTAGTACATGTATTACTGTATATAATTTTTTTGTGATGAGGATTAAAACATATTATCTTAGCATTTTTAAAGAACCCGATATATTGATATAGTCACCACATTATGCAATAGATCTTTTGAACTTATTCCTCCTATCTAACTGAAATTTTGAATTCTATAAAATGTTTTGAATGGATGCTTTTGCTTTCCAAATAATTTAGCTGCAAGTAACCACTGGCTATAATTTCTGCTGATATTGGGAAGTGATAAAATAAACTTATAAACATTTTTGAGTAAAAGCATTTTAAAATCAATAATAGATTGAATAATTAATGAACTAATTTATTAACAGTAATGCAAGAAAATAAAATGTTTTGCAAAACTTAATGTTACATTTGTTGATTTAACATTCTCAGTGTTTATATTTTGGAGCCAATAAATATTTTTAGCTCTCACATATTTTCATAAGCCCCTAAAGCTTGAAGATTTTGCCCTAAGCCTGTGTTGCTTATAAATCATGAAACAAATCTGGCTCTGTTGTCTACTCTAATTCTTTATCTTTCTTTAACTCGTATGGTTATACCAACAGGAGAGATTTTGCAAATTTCTTTTTAGTGCTGGGGATTAAATCAAGGGGTATTTTTACACTGAGCTACATCCTTGGCCCTTTTAATTTTTTGTTTTGAGACAGGTTCTTGCTAAGTGCTGCGGCTGGCCTCAAACAAATAATCCTCCTGCCTCAGCCTCCGGAGTAGCTGGGATTACAGGTGCATACTACTGCATGCAGTCTTGGATTTCTTCTGAGGGAAAGGATCATTTCCTAAAACTGAGCCAAAATAAACTTTATAAGTGATTGCCTCAGGTATTTGTTACAGCAATAAAAAGCTAAACAATGTAGATAGCAAGTATTCTCATGGTTCAGTAGTCTGAACAATGGATAAAAATTAAGAGCCAGTCTGGAGAGAGGGAAAAATGGCATAAAATAAAAATAAAAAAGCAGTGAAACTAGTAAATTTTAGAGTCATTACCATGGTTATAAAACAGTGAAAAGTGAAGGCTGTTTCCTAGAAGCAAAGTGCATCATGTAAGAAGAAATACAATAATATTTAAAAGGAATAGCTTCCTTTTAAAGAGAAGAAAAACCCAGAGAACCTCAAAAGCTTGGAGAGACTTTCTTGAGTAAGGTGAATCTTGTGCTTTCTTGGAAAACTGAGCTATGAAGCAGCATGAATATAGGAGAGATAATAACAGTTCCAATTAAATGTGTTGCTGTTCAGGACACGGCAGTCAGGGAAAGCTGCTATTCCAACGGAACTCTGAAGCACAGTGGTGAGGTGTGCATGTGTATACAACAGAACGGAGCTGCCTGTTAAGCTAAAGATCTCGATATCTTACTCTATGTTCCTAGGGAGGTCCTTCTGGTTTCTGAATTTTCTATTAAAATGCTAAGTATCTGATATGTCTGTCTAGGAGGAAGAGGAGGTTGATCTATGGCTACTAAGTCATGTTAGATAGAAGAAAGAAGTTCTGGGGTGCTGTCACACATTAGGGTGACTACAGATAACAACTGTGTACTGTATATTTCAAAAAGCTAGAAGAAAGAATTTGAGTGTTCTCACAATAAAGAAATGAGGAATGTTTAAGGGTATGGGTATGTTTAACCTGATTTAAACACCACACAACGTACACGAGTATTGAAACATCGTGTCCACTAATACATACAATTTTTATGTTTCAGTTAAATATTTCTAAAGTTAAAAAAATAATATCTGCATAAAATCACACAAACTGGAAGGAAAATGACATACCATAAGAAAAAATGGAATAATGGTCAATTAATTGATATTTTTAATGTATAAAGATCTCTTCTGTTGATGATAGGGTGGGGGGGGGTGACCAATTTCCTTCCAGGTCACTAAAATAGAATTTTCAACTATTTAGAAGAAAAAGATACCTTCATTCTACATTCTCTCTTACTCTAAAACCTTGAGATTTAAAAAATGTACTTTAATGCAGCGATTTTACTTCTGAGACTTATTCTAAGGAAATCATCATGGATATTCATAAGCATGTGCTTATCAGAGAATTAAAATACATTAAAAACAGCTTGTAAGTCAGAATGGGATAGATGGAATTAAACTATTTTAAGGTTCTTGCTCTGCTAGACTATGGTAAAAGTAGTAAGTACTATTAGACGCTGATTACTCAGGATTCCTCTTGAGATTTTTAGGGTAGCCACCAAAAATGAGTGAAATGGTAAGAAGCTGTCAGAAGAGTGTCCATTACTAATTTGTTGCTTCTCTGCTCCAAGTTCATATTCCATTGCCTGCTACAGGGAATGAAGAATTCCCTCGCCGTCAGGCACAATGCCAAGCTTCATCTGTAGAGGGCACTGGAGGGCCTCTTGTGGTTGGTGCTGCCTCTGACTGACTCCTGCACCTGGCAGCTCTTCCCCCTGGCCACCAGGCCCTGCCACCCAGCCTGCGTTTTCCAAGGTACCACTTCCCTCCACTTCCGGTGAGTCCTGGTTGTGAGCCCAATCCTTTAGCAGCTCCCTCTGCAGATGGTGGTTTTCCAGTTTGATCATTGGGAATGG